AGTGTGCCCGGCCGGTGGTGGGTGAAGGCCAGGAAGGCGCCAAGGGCGGCTGTCTGCCCGCAGCCGGGGCTGGGCAGCCACAAGGCCGGAGGAGGTTTGGAATGTGGGTCAAGCACTGCAAATCCAAGTGCTGGCTGGGGCCGTGAGCTCATCCAGATTACTTGGAAAAAATTCCATCTCTTGTGCTGGCTATAGATTTCAAAAATTTATTGGTTTTTTTAATCAGTCATGCCAGCACTTTCAGTGTAATAAAATGGCGTAGCTGTAAGTCTGTCCTGTCGTGCTCTGACATACTTTTATTTTACGAGGTGCCAGCAAATAGGTCCACAAAGGCAGCGGGATGTAGCCGTGCCTACTTCCTAGGCTGCTTCCCTTCCTGGGAATTCCTCAGCCTCCAGTTAGGTTGATGCGTGCCTCAGAAGGTGTGTGGGAAGCTCTAGGCGGTGGCGAACGGGTTTCCTAAAACGTGCGGGGAAAGGCCGTTGCGGTCAGTTGGAGTGATTCCAGCCTGGGGAGAGATTCCCTTGACCATGTGGTTAAACATAGCGCTTCTTTAGAAACAAGATGCACTGCCTTGCCTCTCACCGAATTCTGTGGGTGTTTGATTAAGCAAATGAGGTGTGGCTTGGGCCCTGTAATGAAGGATTAAGCCAGAAAGGGGTTAGCAGTCTTTAAATGTTCAGCAACAAATTCATGTGAATGTAATAGCTTGCATTTCAGAAGGATTTGTTGCTGATACCTTCTGTCATGTGTCTCTGTGGTTGTAATTTACTTGTAAAGATTAGTTACCTTGGAAATGAGGGAAAAACACGGTCCATTTCACTGTGAAAGCAACCTCCCCCTTCTAAAATAGAAATTAAAGTGACATTATTATGAAATAGATTTTTTTTTTTTTTCATTCCCAAGCTCTGTGTGTGTGAGCTTTGAGTTGAAATAGGCATCAAGGCAATAGTTTTAATCCTTGTGAGGTAGTAATGGGCTCAGGAACGTGTCTGCTTATGTGCCTCGTGTTAGCATGAGACCCATGTGTGTGCCAGCCTGTCTTACCATATACTTGATTTCTGTGGGGTGGGAACCTGGGGCATGTGGGCTAGCAAGGAGCTGTTGTGTGCTCCGGACAGGTCCCATGTGGGTGCAGCCTGGAGCCTGAGACCTGTGGCATGCCACAAAGTACACCTACCCGTCAACCACTTTTCATGGTTGCAGTGGGTCTATCAGGGCTTTCAGGTCTCCTTCTAACTGCTTACCTCTGCCTTCTGTGCCCCATAGCTGCAGATGGTCAGCTCTCCTGCCTTGCCAAATTCAACAGTTGCCTTTGAGACATGGTCTGTTTGCTTTTTCTCACCTAATACCTCGAAACTAAGAGGCTTGTAGAAAGCTTTGCATCTTCTCTGGGCTTCAGTATTGTTGTTTCAAAGTTTTAATTACTATTTCTCACTGAATAGCATTTTCCTAAAAAGAGGTTTTTCCTTTCCATATTGTTTCTGGATCCAAACCTGTCATTTACTATAAGAAGTATAATCTTTCATAGTGATTAATTACCCGTATGTTTTTATTCTATTCATTTTTTTTCCCATGGCACACTTGTGCAAAATGTTGCCACCTCTGATTGTAGATTGCTTATAAATAACATTTTTTTTTCTTTCTGTAACAAATGTTATCATTAGTGTTAAGCCCTAAAAGAATGACTTAGGGGCAATACCGTATCCTGTCATCTTCTCAACCTGTAATTGTCTTTGTTATTCTGTTCCAAGTAACACAAGTAAGAAAATTACTTCACTATAACTGTAACAAAATATTGCATCAATGAAATGGCTTTTGATCCCAGAAAGGCTAATATATAAAACATTTGCTAGTCTGATGCTGATCATTCAGTATCAAGTTGATTCATATCTAACATTTATTTCCTGTAAAATAAATTTCCTTTCACTACTGCAGCAAATAGTTAAAGTCTTCCCCCCTTCCTATTATATTCTGTTTCCCATCCCTATTAAAAGTTTGTGCCTTGAGGCCTACCAGCAGGGCATGCAATACCTACATTAAACCAAATTTAAAAGTAAGGGTGCTCCTGCTGCTAACGTCCTCAGATCACAGACATGCAAAATGAAGGAACTGGCAGCTGAAACTTTAATGGTAGGAAATGTAGACTGAATACTTGGGGAAAAAACACAGTAACTCTATATGACAAAAAAGTCCTATTAGCATTTATGTACTTCAAAATGACGAGCTAGACGATTCTACATAACTGTGGGGCTTTCGGCTTTTGTTTTAAGTAAAACCCTGTGTTGTAAGTATAGCATTACTTACATTTTTTATTCAAAGGATTGTTACTATTATGACCATGTATTATTTTGAATGTTAATAGAGTGCCTGTTGTTGCATTGCACACTGCATGTTCAATCACTTCTCCGTCTTATGTATTAATTTAAAATATTATTAATACTTGGACCTAGATAGCTTGAGGAAGCACAAGGAATCACATGCAAGTAAGGTTCTTGAATCAGTTGTCCCTGCAAATCAAAAGCACTTCAGTGAAAGAGAGAAAAACATTGAAAGTAAGATCATGACCATTCCTGTGCATTATGTCCTACTGAAGTAATGCTGATGTTTTTGCGAAACTGGAGTCCAGTTTTACACGTAATGCACTGGAAATAAAAGACAGTTGACTGGGAAGCAGCACAAAGATAAGAAACTGCATCACTGTGAAGACATTTTTTCAAGTAACGTTGATTTTTGTTGTTTGTTTTAGTTAAAATGAGTGTGTTGCCTCAAGCAATCCTACAAAGCCCAGGGGAGCATCCCAGGTTCATAGAGCAGACTGTTTGCCCCTCGTTAGACTTTGCAAGGTATGTACCTCTTTTCTTTCAGAATACCATTTTTACTATGAATAGCTTCAATCAGCTATACCAAGGTGACAAAGTATGTTTGCTTTTTTGCAATATTTAAAACTGCAAACATCAGAGGGAAGGAAATTCTCTCTTAGGGAAGTTTCGTATTTAAAAGGGGGAAAAAAACAAAATAGGAAGTGTGTTCTATTTCAGGTCAGTATTTCATCCCAGTATTTCAAAACCCCTTCAAGACCTGTAGGAAGTTATTTCCATTTAGCATTGATACAAATGCAGGTCATTGAAAATGTACTTATTTGGATGAAAAACAAGATTTTTTTTTCCCCCCATTCAGACACAAACCTGTTCGTGTCTCTGAAAATAAAATTGGCTTGAAAAACATTCACCTGTAATTAATAACTGAGAGAGTTAACAACAGTACCATAATACTTTCAAGGCATCTTCTTGCACATGCCTACATGGCTTTCCATTCCGTTGCACTTATTTCTCATCTTAGTTAGTTGTATCCATACATTTTTGTCTTGCTCTGTGAGTACTGCTGTCTCAGTTGCTACTCCTGCCTCACTATGCTTTTTCTCCTGGAATTGCTGCCATTTCAGAAAAAAAATGTGGTTATTTTCTTCTTCCTCCTCTTTGGGTTGTTTTTTGGGTTTTGTTCTGTTTTGGTTTGTGTGTGTGTCCCCCCATGTCGTGTGTCGTGTCCCCCCAGTGTTGTCCTTAGTCTTTGGCTGAAAGGTCTGGGGCATCTCAGAGTTCAGCAGCTGCATGCCCATGTGTAAAAGCAGTAAGGATGTAGAAACGTGGTATCCTTGGGCCCAGTCTTTCTGAGGGGCTTGTACTGATAGGTGTCCTCTCACACATTGGTAGAATAAGGATATGCAATGATGCCTTACAATTTTTATTTATTTTTTTTTAAATCTTTTATGGCTGGAGCTATGTTTTGCAGCCATCACTTTTTCCAGTAACTACACTGCTGGAGAAATTACCCCAGAGGTAGGTGGCTTGTTTCTTCCCTGTACTTGGGGAGCTTCGTGTTCAAGAAAATCATTCTACGGCAGTCCTATAAATGCTGTGCCTATTTGCAGAAATGAAATGTGTGATTCTGTAATGGTCTAGACCATGCTGTAGATGCCTAGTAATTAGAGCAAGACAAGCTCTATCATTTTCTTTGATAGGAAATTTTGAAAAAAATGGAGTCTGAGGTAACAGAATAGGCAGTGGGGATAGAAAGTTATGTGAGAATCAGTTTGGTAAAGCCAGTTGTATTTATCATGAAGTTTATTTCTAGAAAAAAAAATTAGTAGCTTTTTTTTTGCTGCATAGACTGGTAACAGACATAATTACAGTATGGTGTAAAATGTTAACTCCAGGATAGGTGTCCATTGGATTAAAATATATTTGTCTTTAATAAGTGAATGATTTAAAATTAAATAGGAGCCAATTTACAGGTGAAGTAGACTTTTTTTATAAACTATTTATGAAATGCAGTGAGTCATCATGGAAACACTGGAGAAAGAAGGTTATAGCAGTTTGGAAAAAGCAGGTGACAACTTCTGGAAGAAGAGAAACAATTAATGCCTCTTAGCCAGTGCCATCCTCACCTCATTTCTCTATTAAGAAACAACATCCATTCCGAGTCACAGTCTCGATTCTTCACATTCATTACTTCTTTGTTTTTAATTTTCATTGCATATAAGAAGCCATTTTAAATAATGATTATTTGAGTTGATGGAATTTTCTACTGTGTATTTTTTCCTATGTATCATCTGCCTGGTTTTTTTATGTGTTATTGCTACATTAACATAATTGATAATAACAGCCAGGATGAAATAAGTATTTATTATTTTTAGTAACTTAAATTCTTTATGATGCATGTCCATGTTTGTAGTTGCATCAGTCCAATATAGGGTATTACAGAACTTGGGTAAACAGTAATTGGTTTGCAAGTTGTTGCTTTTTTTTTTTTTTTCCCCCCCCCTGGGCTGTAGTTGTCTTTAAGTAATTGGTTTGCAAGTTGTTGCTTTTTTTTTTTTTCCCCCCTGGGCTGTAGTTGTCTTTAAGGTAGAGGGTGTTACCAATGAGTACTCAGAAATTTTTTTGTGGTTTAACCCCAGTCAGCAACCAAGGACCACACAGCTGCTCGCTCACTCCCCCGCAGTGGGATGCGGGAGAGAATTGGAAGAGTAAAAGTGAGAAAACTCGTGGGTTGAAGTAAAGACAGTTTAACAGATAAAGCAAAAGCTGCGCATGCAAGCAAAGCAAAACAAGGAATTAATTCACTGCTTCCCACTGGCAGGCAGGTGCTCAGCCATCTCCAGAAAAGCAGGGCTCCATCACACGTAATTGTTACTTGGGAAGAAAAATGCCACCACTCTGAATGTCCCCCACCCCCTTCCTTCTTCTTCCCCCAGCTTTATATGCTGAGCATGATGTCACACGGTCTGGAATATCCCTTGGGTCAGTTGGGGCAGCTGTCCCAGCCCTCTCCCCTCCCAACAACTTGTAGACCCCCAGTCTACTCGCTGGTGGGGTGGGTGAGAAGCAGGAAAAGCCTTGACTCTGTGTGAGCACTGCTCAGCAGTAATGAAACCATCCCTATGTCATCAACACTGTTTTCAGCACAAATCCAAAGCGTATCATTATGCCAGCTACTGGAAAGAAAATGAATTCAGTCCCAGCTGAAACCAGGACAACTAGTCAGCTTACCCTGCTCTGCCAGGTGCACAAGTAGCTGGGAGGGGACACAGCCAAGACAGCTGACCCAAACTGGCCGAAGGGGTATACCATACCATATGACGTCATGCTCAGTATGTAAACTGGGGGGAGTTGGCTGGGGGGCAGCAATTGCTGTTCGGGGACTGGCAGAGCATTGGTCAGTGGGTGGTGAGCAGTTGCATTACTTGTTTTTCCTGGGTTTTGTTTATCTCTCTCTCTCTCTCTCTCATTTTCCTTTTCATTATTATTATTATTATTATATTTTATTTCAATTGTTAAACTGTTCTTATCTCAACACTTAAGTTTTCTTACTTTTGCTCTTCAGATTCTCTCCCCCATCCCATGGGGGCAGAGGGTGAGCAAGTGGCTGTGCAGTGCTCAGTTGCAGACTGGGGCTAAACCGCGACACTAGCGTAAGCACTGCTTAGCACCAACTAAAATATCAGTGAGTTATCAATGTTTTTTCTCATACTAAATCCAAAACACATCTCTATACCCGCTACTATCCCAGCCAGAACAGAGACAAATTTATACCTTGACTATAAGGCAGGTGGCATTTTAAATTGTCTATGATTCTAGGGGCTTTTCCCGTGGTTGTTTTTTTTTATTAAAATACCTTTGAGAAGATAATGAGAAGGCATCAGGCTTTCCTTTGTTTCAGTCTGAGATGATTTTAACTGCAGTGTAGATTGAATTGGAGTGAGCTGATAGGAGTGCCTAGGAATTTGCTTGTTGTAGCTGACTGTTTCAGTCTGGGGGTTTGGACTCCCCTCCACACCCCCCCATATCTGGTGTGTTCTCTATGTGCTACTGATGTGCAGAAAGCTCATTTCTGCAGTCTTAAAGGACAAAGGTCAGCCAGGGGTTTTTGTGTTGTCTACTGAATACTTCATATTTAATTGCCCAGAGACAGCATTTTTCAATTTTTCTATTACCTTATATAAACCTATTGAATCTTGAAATATGTTTTACATCAGTTTAAAATACACAGTAATCACCTTATCTTCATTATCCTAATGACATTATGTATTTTCCTAAATTGTGAATATTTTGGTGTGAAAATTTTGATATTGATTACTTTTTTGTATTGATTATAACTGTATTTTTATGGCAATATCCATAAGGTGTATATTTTGCATGGTCAGCAGCAACTCATATGGCTTGTGTTATGTGCAGCTTGAAAGCATAAGCCTCTGTTGGTGCAGCTCAGTAGTAGTAAATTCTGGAACAAATTTAAATGCCCTATTTGTGCCGGAAGTTTTCACTATTACATTGTTTTAAAATCCGACATGTCAAAATATCTCTACACTGCTTAGCTATTTTGTTTTCATTTAAATGAACTTCATGAAGTGTCTTTGGTATTCTCAGAGCAATAAGGAGCATGACACTTATATTAGCTAACATTATGAAAAGAATTTACTCTCATCCTTGTAATGAAAGACAGCAGTGTAATACAGACAGAGAAAGAGGAAAGTAATAGATTTATGTGGAACACTAATGTTGAATTTCTTTTATCTTTGAGTGATTAACCAGACAATCTTTATGCTCTTTTAAAGAAGAATAAAAATAAATTCTCATTACTTTTATAAAGATAATATCCTCTACGGTTGGGATATCAGGATCTATTTAAATGCACTTTATGGTCAGTAAGTGCATATTACCCTTAAAATTGAAGGCATCCTTTGTGTATCAGACTGGAGATGCAAAGAGATGCTGGCTCAAGTGAAAGGTGAAATGATGTACAGTTCAAATTTTAAAATTGGATCCATGCATCCTGAAATTTGCTGTTTATTTTAACGCCCTTTGGACTACCACCTTAGTGCACCACCTTTTGCAATATACTGCTCAAACTGTAGAAAGCTGAGAGCAGTATAAAAAGTCTGCATTGCACTAAGGAAAACATTCTGTGTTGGGTTTGGGATATTTTTGTTGATTTTCTTCTTTTTAATTTTGAAAAAGTTAAATACAAAATAGACTGGACCACTCTGGTCCACACTGATAATGCAAAAATGTAACAGTTCTGCTTCAGAAAAAAGTTTAAATATAGGTAGCTTAATCAATTATTATTGGTTTAGCTAATACACATTTTCTTCTAGTTTAGACAGAAATATCAGATAACCAGGTCCTTGAAAGCTAATACCCACTCTGTTTTGTTTCAGAAATAAAGATTTGAAATAGCTACAGACCAAAAAATTAAAAAGATATTTGTATGTGTTTATAGAATGTCTGATATATTACTTTGTCAATATTTCAGTATTTAGCTCTACTTGGCAATACTAATATATTATACATGCTGCAGAATTCTATGTTAGCACCTCACAGTGTTTCTTTTAATTTTTTTCATTTAAATTTAGGATTCATTTGATCAAAGACAAAGATGGCATAGATGATTATTTGGCGAAGAATATCAAAGGGTTGTCAAAACAAGAAGCTGCCGCGTAAGTTGGCTTTTTTGAGGCATTTTAACATCCATAAGTTTATTGTTTCCTTTGTTTCTAGTCATCATAATCATTTAAATTTAAAGTTCCCTAGGCCCTACCCTTTTTAGTGGAACTTGGAATTTAAAAATTGAAGTTGATATTAAATAATGATAGTTCATTTCTCCTGATCTTGAATATATCAAAGCATTTAACTCCTTGGTTTTACTAATTTGTATATTTACTGAAGTATTATATCACATTTGTAACATTATTATTAAATTCTGTCATTAATTATATTTGAAACTGTGTTCTTTTCTTTGCTTTTTTTTTTTCCTTTGTGCCTCTGTGAAATATGTCCTCTGGGGTGGAAGCTTAGGATACCAACACATACGTTCTTGTAATTTTGAATTATTATTTAGCCAAGCCCAAGCGCTGACTTCCGCAGTGAAGCATTTAATACACCATTAGTTATTTAAAAACCTAATGAATGAAAGAAATCTAGATAACTTTTGATTTCTTACAGCTGAGTTATTTACATTTAGACGTTACAAGAGACTATGACTGACTTATTCTTCTGGAGTCTTTTAACAGATCTGGGGTTCAGCACCATCAAAATTAATGAAAGAATTCTAACAAATCTGAATTGCTGGTTGCTTAAGTGAGATGATTTATTTATTTCAATATTTAAATAATAAAAAGATGCATATACAAGGGCTCTAGACACCTTAACAATTAATATTGCAAGATGATCCTTGCAGCATAAAAACATTCTATCAACCAGAGAGGAATTCGACCAGCTAGTTTCTTGCAAAATGTGCTTCTTTTCTCCTCCCTAGCCTAAGAATGTACCTGCAAAACTTCCCTAAAAGCTTTCAAATTAAAATCTAGAAAATTCCCAAATTTGAGATAAAGGGTAATAACTTCAGCAGTGTTCTGAAACCATACCATATAATAGTCAGCCAGCAGACACACTTTCCTTTCCTGTGATACATGTCTCATTTACCTTTATTGTTACAATGGTAACATGATAAAGCTAAGAAGTGTTCTGACTGTCGGTACAAAGATTGTAACGTACCTGGTCGGATGATCTAGGAGAGCAATCTGCTTAAAGCAAACTTGTACCCCACTTCTTTTATTTGAATTAAGTGTAGGTTCAAAGATGATGGACTAAAGATTAGATCAATGATGGAATTGGGCAGGACCTTCTCAATATGTCATCCTAGGGTCTGCAAAGTTCAATTTGTTCCTTTGTTTCTGTAGGAGGGACTCTGTTATCATGGTCACAGTCTTTGGGAGAGAGCAGCCTGACAGTGACAGGAAAGTGAGTTAGGTGAGGTAGGGGGAAGTGCCACATTACTGCTCTGTGAGTACATGTGGTTGATGTAGGACAGTTACCTTTGATCATGCTGTCCTACTAATCATGCTAGGTGTCATAGCTGGTTTAAATATTCCCTGCGTAAAGAGAAGGAAGCTAAGACTGGTCTTTGACTTGGTCACATTCTGCACGAGCTGGACCAGCGTAAGGAACAGATCCTTCCCGAGCAAATGCTGTGCTGACAGAGGTCCTGTCCCCTGAAAAAAGGGTAGCATAGTTGTTCTGTGAGGGGAGAAGTATCAGACTTCAGGGAGCAAGCACAGAAACAAGTACGTTCACTGATTGTCACCCTAGTTCCGTACCAGCTATGCAGTGCTGCTGTAGTCATTGCGCTACAGCAGTTGTTGCAGACTGACTTGCCTTCCCAGTGAATCATTTCAGTCTTTGGCCCCAGTGGATTTCCATAGTACGCACACCATGCTAGGGACAGAAATGTCCTCTCTGTGATTACACAAGTCACTGCTATTTTAGGAAGGCCTTGGGGCTTCAAAGAGCATTTTACAGCTCTGATTTGATCAGGTCAGCTTTTTACTGCTATTAAAAAAAAAAAGAAAAAAAAAGGAACAAACAAAACAAAACAAAAAAAACAACTCAAAAAATCCTCCTATACAATTTCTCTTTTTATATCCAAACCCTGAGTCTGGGGGTTGTGGAAAAGAAAACCAGCAAGGAAATCCACAATGAAGTGAGAATTTTGTCATCTGTTCTGCAATACCTACACAAAGTGTGGTGTTCCCTTACTGCTTTGTAATGTGCTGTTTTTCAAAGTTATCAAAGCCTCTTAGAAGATTAAACTGAAATGTCATAGGTATTTTTCTATGGAATTTTTTTAAGTACATATTTTAAAAGATTATGTTCATGATCTGTGTATTTAATTATTCTCAGAATTTTAGCTTTTGATAATAGCTCAGCAGTTACAAAATTTCTATAGTATGTGATTTACTAATGCTGTTCCATAAACCTGCTATAATCATTTGAGAACAAACAAATGGTAACAAACTAGCAGCTACACAGTTGTATTAATACTAGGCTAATCTAGTTATAAAAAACTAAACGCCTCAACTGTAATTTTAAACCAATTTATAAATTAAGGCAATGCCATATCTGTAAATAATTTTACTGAAATCAATGTTGTGCTTTGTATGTCTCAGCAGACAACAGATATTTTTATTTTTAAAAGTGTGAGAAATGGCTTATAATATGCTGTGCAGTTTTTTAAAATATTGTTTCCATTCCAGAAGTAGAGTATTGCATTTCTTTATAAAAGGACAGGATATCTTTCTCTTACCACCTAAATATCTGTACTTTTGTTTAATATGGAGGCTAACTTAATAAGTTAGTCATTATTTTGTCAAGACAAATTCTTATAGCCACTCTCCTGCTTAATATTAAGCAACCCCCTTTTTTTGGTGCATGTTACACAGATAACAAATTTATTACCTCCTAAATAAAGGAAAGTATCGGTAGTATCACATTTATGGAAACAAGCAACATTTTTTAAAGCTGTTTCCTAAAATTGTATCCTTCACAATCTTTAAAATTAAGATAAGCTACTTTCTTCATAACTGAAGGAAAAGAAGTTGCAATTATCCTTCTATTACACAGTATTGTACTCTGTTCCAAACTTCAGTAAATGAGAATAATTCTGTTAAGTGTGTTATGTTATAATCTCATTTTTGTGTGGAAAAATGTGGAGATGTTTTTCATTTTTTTTCTTTGTAATAATTCTTTTGTCCCAGGGTGATACAATAGAAGAGGAAGAAAAGAACGTGCTTAAGAAACATAGTACTTTAATTATATTAAAATAGGATATTGCTTTAGTTTTTTCATTGATTTTTTTTTGTTTCCTTCTCTAAGACTTTAACTTGAAATAAGAGGTGAATGCAGTGTAAGCAGCTGGAAATGGAAAAAAGTAAAGGTGCCCATTAATGCAGAATGTCACTGCTGTCTTGCCAGAGAATTAGGCTTTTGTAAGCTTATGAGGAGGTTGGCTGATTCCACTGGCCTTCAGTGTGCTTTCCCTGATACTTTCTGGTTTTGATCTTGACTCTCCAAACTGTTAATGGCTCAAAATCAGGTTGCAGTATAAATTAAAAATTGTCCTTATGACTGATCTAAGAGTCAAAAAGTTTATGATGAGTGGTGAAGTAAGGCATTTTCCATCAAGAGATTGATTCCAGGGTTGAATCTTCAAATGAGTTTGGAGCCTAGAATGGACCAGAATTTGATATTGTCATTCATGTTTCCTCATCTTTTTGTCAGGGCGAGAAAGATCAGGTAATAGTTCTCTCCTCTTCATACAAATTAAAATTGTCCAAAGATGACCATATCATCAAAAAAAGAGTTAAAAACTAGAAATAGAAAATTTTGAAATCTTTTTGGCGAGCAGAACAGCTTTCTTTAGTAGTAACAACAAAATATTACGTTAGTGATACTACTAGATGTATTTTGGTAAATCAGATGATGGAGTTTTAGTGTCCTCACTCAAGACTCATTGATAGTCAGATGATATCTAAATTATTATACAGAGACAGTACAGGCCGACCTAGATGTGCAGAAAATCTGTATTTGTGTTTTCTGCCTTGTGAGTGGTCTATCAGAGTGTTATGGAAAGCTTGCCTTGAAAAATTTGTGTCAGTAAAGACATGCTTTAATACGACTTTTTCAGGCAGGAGATAAGATTATCTTATAGGCATTCAATCATATGCTTTTGAGATACAGTGGGTTGTTCTCCTTACAATTCACCAGAAGGCTGGTCCACTTCAAGATTATCGGGAATGCAAAAAGGCAAAGGTTTTCCTTTTCAGGTGGACTGTGACCCCCAGAGCAATTGCCAGCCATCTCAGCTAATACTGGGAAGATCAATTATTAAACTACTTTGCAGATTGTTTACTGAAAACTGGAATATAATGTTTTTGCTCTAGGAGTGATGCCTGGTGAATATTGTAGCAATTTTTTGCTTCCATAAACTTTTGTCCTTCTCTGCAAAAAGAGCAAAGGGGTTTTCACCTAGGTTTAACTGATCCAGAGGACGAGGTTAATCACACCATATAATCAATGGAAATAATTAAGAATAAGTCATTTGATTAGTTGAGCCCCAATATTACTTTTCAAGCACCTATTCCTTTCCATTGCTTATATAGAGAGCTTAGGGTGACCAGCTCAGATGTAGACATGTACATTTACTGCTGAATCCCACACTGGAGGTCTATTGAATTTTGAAAGCTGAAAAAAGTTCAGGTAGAACTCTTCGAGAGCTGCATTCACTAATGCCCTCCCCCTCAAGTTTCTGCTGGTTTCAGTGTCGGTATCAGCTAGGTAGAGTTAAGGAAAAAAGATGTAGGAAAATCTAATGAGGAATTAAGTGTTAGTGCTCCAGATAAGTTTGTGGAAATAAAAGATTTCTTTCCTCCATCCTTACTTCTTCTACCAGTTGGTATCTGAATATTCAACCCCCATCTGTCCTCCAAGACTGAAGAGGAAGAAACTTCCTCTAATTGAGGCCAGGATGATCTGGAGAGTCCACTGAGGGAGAAGAATGGGGTTGTGGGCTGATGGAGAGCCTAGCTTGAAGGGTGTTTTATTCTTTGTTTTCATCATAGCTATGATGGACTAGTAAACCCTACTGTTAGACTGGGCTGTT